CAATAATTCCAAAAAGCTGTTTTTCCAAAGCAAATCAAATTTGGTTATGTTGCATAATGTTCAGTAAGAATGTTTCAATTTTCAGAAACTTCAAAGCATTCGTATATTTGCTGCATTTTTTTTAATGAACCAGCAGATCAGGAGAATCAAAAAATATTCCTTGTAGTTTAGAAATTGCTCTATTTGCAGTTGAGCAATCAAAATTGACGGGTGGAGAATTTTGACAATTATCAAAAAAAGCCACGGATCTCCCTCATAAAGGGATCACGGCCGAATAGTCGCGAGGCCACCTGAGCGTCCCCAGGTGGTGGGTAGGGGGATAATCGCCGACCAAAAGCGACCCCACGAGTTTGGCCGTGAACATCGATTCCTTCGAACAACTCACAACCCGAATCGGAAGTTTGCGAATATCAAGCTGTGGATCAATCCCTACCTTGACCATCTTCATTGCATACGCCCCAACATTCGGCTACGACGAGGACGAGCTCGAGACATTTTATGTGGACTTGGAGGATTCTACAGAGAAGATCCCACCTTTTACATGATCATCGTCGGTGATTTCAACGCGAAAATCGGAGCTAGAAGGTCGACTGCGGAATTCACATCGAAAGCATGGTTTACAGTGGAACGAACAAGGGAGAGGCTGTCCGAGTTTATCATGACGATGACGACTATCCATGGGAACTCACAATTCCAAAAGCCCCCTTTCTAGCTGGACCTGAGAATCGCCCGGTGGAGAGTACCAACGAGATTGAGCACATCATCGTCAACGGAAGTTGCCTGACGGACGTCGCTGTTGTTCCGAAGTTCTACACGGGATCAGACCATCGACTTCTACACGCCAAGTTACTTCCCGCGAAATGGAGAGAGAGCCGTCAAGCTCATGATCATGAATACCATCAATTGGGATCTGTTTTCTTCGATATCCGGCTCATGGCGAGATGCCGTGATCGGTCCGTGCAACATGTACACGATTGTGCCAAGGAAACCTAAAGTCTAAGAAGTACGAGAAGGCGTCTCACCACCGAGACTTTGGAGCTAATACGCCAACGTAGACGCGCACGAGCCAGAGGCAACTACCGACTGACTTCCTTGCGACATCGGCAATAATCTTCCTTGCGACATCGGCAATAATCTATCTCCCTGTTGTCTGTAGTCTACAAACTCTTCACGCGAGTTACTCTCAACAGGATCGGAAGAGAGTTAGACGAAGGACAACGTGCGAGCAAGCTGGGTTTCGAAAAGGATTCAGCAATTCAGCACGATAGACCACATACAACGGTGTCAAGGCTCATCGAGATGTCACGAGAGTACAAGATGCCGCTCTGTCTTACCTTCATCGACTTGAAGAAAGCCTTTGACTCGGTTGAGACTGAAGCAATCATCGATGCCTTGAACAATCAAGGTATCCCTACTCAAGTACATCAAGATAATTCATGAGCTGTACACGAGCTGTGCTGTACACAAGCTGTACAGCTGTGCTTCGCAACCAGTACCTCACCATTCTACAAAGGCATCATTATCGACGTGAAGAGAGGCGTACGACAAGGCGATACTATGTCGCCGAAACTATTCAGTGGCGCTCTGGAGAACTCATGCGTAAGTTGGAACGGGACAACATGGGAGTGAAAGTCGAGGGTCGGCAACTACACCACCTTCGCTTTGCTGATGACATCGTACTGATAATACCAAGCATCACGCAGGCGGAACAAATGCTGGCCCAGTTTGACGAAGTGTGTGGAAGGATCGGCCTACGGCTGAACGAAGACGATGTTCATGAAGAACGGAAGAGTGCCTGATGCTCATTTCATGCTCAGCGGGACGAACATCAACGAATGCTCAAACTACACCTACCTAGGTCATGAGCTCAATAAGATGAACGATCTAGCTCCGGAACTGAGCAGGAGGAAACGTGCAGCATGGGGAGCATATGAGACAATTGAGGATGTAATGAAGAAGACCAAGAACATCCGGCTCCGCGCCCATCTCTTCAACTGGACGGTTTTCTTGCTTTGACGTACGCTTCAGAAACATGGACAATGAGGAAGCAGGATGAACATGCGGTTAGCGTCATCGAATGTGCTGTTGAGAGAGTGATGCTAGGAGTGAACGACTCACGCAAGTAAGGCAAGGGATACGAAATTCTACCCTAATTCTACGGGGCTGGGAGTTGGCACAGGGGGGTAAGTGAGAATGGGGATTTCGAATACAATATTAGTTCTTGAAATCGTCCATTACTTTTATCGATTTTATCGATTTTTTTGTAAAGTCTGACCTGCGGGGCTGGGAGTTTGCACAGGGGGGTAATCGAGCATGCTGATTACGAATACAATATTAGTTTTCAATTGTACATTACTTTTATCGATTTTATCGATTTTTCGCAAGGTTTGAGCTACAGGGCTGCGAGTTGGCACAGGGGGAAAGTGGGCATGCTAATTTTGAAAACAACACAGGGAAGGGAAATGAAGTGTAGAAGTGGGCACAGGGAAAGGCTATACAGGGATAGGGATGACCTCTATGACAGTGTTTTGACAGGGCCGAGTAAGCCAGCTAATGCTTCTTTAGACTTATCCGTGTACTCGTTCGCCTGTATTTCAGAAGATCTTCCTGCAAAGCTATTCTGCAACTGGCGTTCGTTATCAGTCGCTCGAGATGGATTGCACTTGTATCCTGCCTCAATGATTTTCTTCTTTCGAGAAAAACTCTTGGTTTGCCAAGATACAATCCGAATTATTCTCGCGAGTCGTTCAAGCACATCCTCTGCAGGCTCGCAATCCTTTCAGGAGCCCGTCATAGTAATAGGTTGGGTCCTTTATGCCGGATACAACTTGATATGAGCTCCTTCAACCTGTGACCGTCATAAACGTTTCTTTTCTTTTCTTCTTCGACGCTATGTCAGAAATTCTTTTCCAGCTGTCGACTGAAAATTGGAAAAAGAGGAGGCGTCGTTGGGGTAGTCAGTATATTGTTAACCACAAAAATCCAACTCATTACATATCATTCTATTCATTTTCAGCGTGTTGTGGTTTCGGTTTCACGTTTTGCTGCTACCAAAAATAAGCTGATTGGCGCGCGGCATTGCAAGGGTACCGTGACCAGCTTAGGGGAATTCCTTTCATCTGAAAATGATTTCTTATATTTTTGGCCACCAAAACACCGCAACCGTTTTCAAGCTACGCTCTAAAAAACCTTGAAATTTTTTGAGAGGCGTTGATAAGATCCTTGGTGATTCAAACGGCAGAAAGTATAATTCTAACCCTCGCGCGATCATGGACTGAATAATCACGGCTCTTAACATTGTCATCCAATTGAACTGACGAAGAGCAGCTTGTTGAGTGTTGACGTTGGATGCTTTTCGCATATGCACGACCAAACCCCTAGAATCTAACGACGAGATAAATTTTATTGCACTAAAAAAGCGATAAATACTGTGAATGTGTAAGCTCTACGATTTATTGCGCAATGAATCCAAGCTGTAAAATGTGTGAAATCTTGTAAAATATAAAATAATAATATAGAATATAACGATTTCGTGCACCTGCGACGGTGAAACAAGGTAGGTATAAAAACTGAAATCGACTGCAAAAAAAGCAAAATTTTGTTTTTATATGACACCATTCTTGTTTTTCTTCTGATTTGCCATGTCACCTTCCCATTCCAAAGGAAAGGCGTGCAGGATCCTCCAAAGACCGCCGCTTCTTCTCCAGGAGCGCCCTTGGGAGGCCATAATCGCTTCGCGCTTACATCGCGCTTATGTCGCAGTTGTCCCGCACTTTTTTGCGATAGTTACCTCCGGACAAGGGCCTTGTTCCTCTTGGCATTAATTATAGCACAGCTTAAACGAGGATTTTTCAATGATAACAAACAAATGGATGTGAAACATTCGGTCACCTTAGTCGAGGTGAATCAAAAAGGTGGTTGTTTTTGTAGGCGGGAAGGTCACCGCATCAACGATTTGTCATTAACAAACAAAAGAAAATGTGAGAATAAAGCTGACTGAGAGGCAAATACATTCTACTGTGGCTGTTGAGATGTGGTAGATAAAAAGAAGCAAACGGTGATCATGTTTTCTCATCAGCGGCGCCAAGTCAGGGCATATCTTTGGAAATTTACAACTTCAAAAATACGTTGTGCATCATTTTTTTGGCAGTTCATTGGACTCGCTGTACCTAAACCTTTTGTCCGTACGGGAACCGATGCTTTAAGTGGGTAGCAATTCAGTGGGACAAGAATCACAGCAAAATTGTTGGTGAAAATTTTTAAAAATTGGTTTCCCTCAGATGCAATGCTTGTGCGAAGCTTTCTTCTGGGAAAAGTTTTGAGCTTTTATTGCCAGTATGCATGCATTCTGAACTGCAAAATAATTGCCACAAAAAGGATGCAGATTTGATCAAAATGCTTGTTAAGCATCGTACATCTAGCCTGATGTGATATAAAAGCAGCATTTCGAGTTCTATATAATGGTATGCTTCAACTTCCAAACTGCCACTCCGACTAACTGACTTCCCTGGCAAAAGGCGCGCAGTCTACTTTTATCATTTTTTTAGCTCCCAAACTTTTCCATTTCCTTGTTATCATTGAAAAATCATTGTTAAGCAGTTGTGACCTTTTTGATATGCTAGGGGAAACAAGGCGATTGTCTAGAGGGGAACTACCACAGAAATGTGCGAGACGTGCGACAAGCGCGAGGTAGGCGCGAATGGATTATTGCCTCCCATGGGCGCGCCTGGAGAAGAAGCGGCAGGCCTTTGGAGGATCCTGAACGCCGCCATTCCAAAGTTCTTTGGACAAAGTTCTTTTTAGTGTTTATCGCATTTGACTGCCTCTATTGCTTGGACGGTGGAGTTACAAGCTTTAATCAAAATATCTTATTTCACGCGTTAACTCGATTATTCAATTTGTATTGTCCATGACAAAAATAGCAATCGACATCTCTGACGGAATGGCGCACTATTTGGCGCGCGTCATAACTTTGGCTCTTTCACACTAAATCTGACTTCATGCTTGATTCGGAGTGCGAGTGGGTGACCATGGTTAAATGAATGGATAAGGAAAAAAATACTACTTCAGGTCTTGTTTCCGGTAAAAGCAATGTGAATTGACTTGACTGCAAGAACAAGGCAAAGAAGAATCCTATGCGCATACGTACATTCTACCTAAGTCCGACAGTAAAAAAAAAACCTACAAACTAACCGATATTCAATACATTACTCAGGAGATTCGCAGAATCCTTGTAAACAATTGCGAAACTTTACTTAGAACACATTTCACCCGTAAAGTGATGTAGCATAGAAAGATATTTCGTTGTCGTTGCAAAGGTTTTCTGTGCAATGCTTGTTTTGTGCTTCATAAGAGGTCGGTGCAAAAGCTCGTTCCGTTTTTTGGGTCTGAACCAGGGTCGAGCAAGAGGTGCGGCACAAAAGCGCCGGTGACCCCCCTCCCTCCCCTAACTCGTGTCTCAATACGTTACTAGCATTATCATTTGCTTTCCGTGGGCAGGACATTAAGGCTCTACCATACATAACTAGTGACACATTTGTAATTATCATGTCAGATTACCCCATGGGGCAAGTTTTAGCAAATTCTGAGAGTTCCCGATATTGGACCGCCCAAGTGAAGTGGTCATTTTCAAACATGATCCACTATGTTTCTGATGAATTGGCTAAGTCTTTTTGTACTCAATACAAACACAATTCCCTATTTACCCATACCATGAATTCTGCTTCCTAACCATCAAACTATGGAGTTAGATGCCGGCCAAAATGTCGTTTGTCCCATTTTTCGCTCTCAATGGCTGCGCTTTCACCAGCTTTTACTCAGAGCGAAAAAGATGAATCAAGCCCAAATAGCCCAAGTTCGATATCTTAAATCTTGTAGTTTCTATAAAAACTACAAGATTTAAGATATCGAACTATATATTAGGTTGTCCCGAAAGTTTTGTCGGTTTTTTCAAACCACTGTAAAACCACGCACAATGAAGACCTGAATGAGTTTCAACGTGCATTCGATGCAGCTTTTCCTTCTCTTTCTTATGGATGCACTTTCATACCATAACCTTGTATGCTTTTTTTGAAAATTGCCAAAATTCTCCACCTGTCAATTTTACCTGCTCAAAGTTAACCTAATTTTCAAAAATTTCATTACAAAGTTTCGAAAAAGACTAAGTATGCGTCAAATAGAGCAACTCTCGGGCTACAAGTTCATATTTTTAGATTCTCCTAATCTGCTGATTTTAACTTCAAAAAATTATTTCTCCGGAGGCCTTGGTTTTTAGCAAAGTCATGGACGCGCAATTGCGGCAAAAGCATGAAAGCTTTTGAGTTTTTGCTAATTCAAACTTATTTGTTATTTAACATCATTTATGCAACATAACCAAGTTTGATTTGCTTCAAAAATCAGCTTTTTGGAATTTTCGGTAATTTTACGTGATAAAACGTGTTCAAAAAGCCGCGGTTTTTCTCAAATAAATAATTATTACGGACATTATAAACGTGACCCGCGTAATCTAAAATAGGTACAATGTAGCCAAAGGTTTGCCCTACATAACAGTCACCAGCGCTCATCGAAAATATCAAGATAAAAATTTTGAAAATTCAGGAGAGTTTTGGCGCTACTGCTGAGGTGTTCAAAAAGCCATGGCGATAACATCGTAAAGAAGGGGTAGATCTGGGAACAAATATAGCTATAAGAAAGAGGATACAAAAATGAATAGAATGTCACCTAGGCCGTCCATGGATTGGTGTTCTGTGAGGTTTGGTGAGCGATGAAGAAAACCGACAAAACTTTCGGGACAACCTAATATATTATGCTATTTTTTTTTTTGAAGGTAATTTAATGGGGCATGGCGCGACCCCAGAAAAGCTGTTGCTGCCACACCTTTTTAGGGGTTGTAGCACACCCCATTAACTTACCTTCAAAGATTTTAAGTTTCTCTCTTTTATATGGTTGCTATTGCTAAACCTTCTTCTCCACATAGCTGGAGCTTCACTTAGAATTGTTTCTCCTAGGGGTAGTAGTCGTTTTTCCTTAGCTATGCAAATGGAAAACACTGCGAAAATATTGAATTGAGTTAATATGCTAAGTCTGCGCTGCTACTTGAATCGCGAAGGAAGGCGGCAAAAAAGATTACTTTTGATAGTCTAACCCTCGTGATCTCTATTCTGATATATTAAGAGCGAAAATGGGAAAAACGAGATTTTGGCTTGCTTTTAATTCTATAATTTCGAGGTTATTTGGAGTGGGATTCTTCATATGAGCAAAGCAGTGATAATTTTTTGGATTGAGTGCAAAAAAGTGAACTCACCTTTAAAACAGAGTTAACATGTTCGAAAATGATCATCTTACTTGGGTCCCTAACATTTAGAAACCTCAAAATTCGTTGAAACTTGACCTACGGGGTTATCTAACATGCTAATCACGAAAATGGTGCTCATATGCTTTTAAAATTTCGTTATGCTTTCTGTACTTATAGGCCAAAACATCCATGTATAGTATAGTATCTTGCGTAATGGGCCTATCAGACATTTTTGACGGGCATCATGTCACTAACATCACTATAACCTTAGCAGCGACCCCCTCCCCATCTCCCTAGCTCCTCTAGGGCCAGCAGGGTTGGCGTGCCACACCGCACGCTTGACCCTGGCCTAAACACTAATATCGTAGATCAAAGATAAACAAATGCTGCAAACAGTATCCGATGCCGAATTTCTTCCTGCAACAATTATAACCTCGAGCTTTGATAGCCAGCAGATAGTTCAATCTTTTTGCAAATCAACGCAATTCGTATATGTAAGCTTATTTCTGAGAAGTTCTAGTATATTTTTTGTTGTGCTCAAGTTTACAAATGATCTATACAAATCTAGTAGAACATTGTAGACAGTTCAGGCACCATTCGATCAACTTTTTTCCTTTGGTGCTCTCTGTCCTCTTTGGTGACACCTGCGAAATTTGCAAACAATACTGTCATCCTTACTAGTTTTAAGTATGCACTTTCACTTCCATATCTTGTTTAACGGTTATAGCTCAGTTACGTAAGGTTAGTGGTAGCAAATGTGCTTCAATCAAAATGTTTTGATTGTTACAATATTTGCTACGCAATTTTTCAGAACTCAAAGTTGTTGTAGAAATTATTCAGGACAGTTCCAAAAAAAGGCTGAAGAAATACAATAAACTGCCCTATTTCGCAAACGGCTGTACTATGTGCCAATTATTAACACATTGACGACTATGCAGATTTTTAGTGGTCTGCCTTCTGGGACCAAGGCCATTTACGACCAGCCCGCATTTTTCAACTATAATTGAACATACTGTCATCTACAGTGTACCTACAGTAGATCTGAAATGCTAAAAATAACGGTAGAGGTCATCCCTAAACTCAGTGCAGAAGAAAGCTCGTGGAGTGTCTTTATCAAAGTATAGTAGTTATTTTAACAAACTTCAAGCCTTGACACACATGGTGTGTCAAGCGGTCCCACGCGGTAGTCAATGCTTGACACACCATGTATGTCAAGCGGTCGTCAATGTATTAAAGCCCCTTCAAAAGCTGCAAATAAAATTTTTCATACCCTTTGCTTCAACCAAATTAGCAGCTGGAAGGCGGACTGACCTGGAAGGCAATGCTCGCGGCCGCGACGCAGTCTGTGCCTCCCTCGCTAACATGCTCTCTGATCATTTAGCCTTATTTAGGTCACGGAGCACCGCCTTCCACCCGCCGATCTGGTTGGAGCAAACGTATTTAGCTAAACCTAGACAAGGTAAGAATAAGGGGTTGTTAATTCTGCGGTATCTCAGCAGTAATCTTAGCAGCAGCAATAATGCCCAAAACTCGTTCGCCGAGTTCTACGCAAATCCAATAAGTAAAGGAGATGCATGATATTATTTGCTGAATAATAGCAGGATATACAACCCAATGTCTTGAGCTCAAGTCAATTCATTTCGTGTACAGAACTGATGTAGACTTAGTGGCAGATGTCACTAGAGAGTCCGCAGTCGACTACGTGCTTGTTCAAATTGTTTTTTGGTAAGATGTATCGCTTTCTGGCTTAGGAATGCTGCTAACACTGTTGGCAATTTTCTCAAAAGTGGATGCGGGAGGACAAATATTTTCTGATGAAGAATGGATGACACATGCGTATACCCAGGAATCTGTCGATGAAGGCACCTACGAAGCAAATGCGGATGCAGAAGATTATGCAAACGTGATGCATATGGCTGCATCACCACCGCAAATTCGAGTCAACATACCACAAACGAAAATACGGCTTGAACCAGAACTCATGAATATATTTCCTGAAACTATCATACATGAGATTGCCCATGAGGCAAATCTTCATGCTGGTACTGCTAATGTGATAAGATTTCCGACACCACTTTCACATCGACACGATATATCAAGTGAAGTCATACGTCTGAGTGACGTAATAAACTACATCGGAACTCATCGACAAACTATTGGTGTGCCAGACGCAAATTACGACTATCAATTCTCGAAACAATTTATGAATGTAGAGCTTCGAGACAGGCCTACAATCGCACATAGGGATAATGTTTATGCTGAAGAGCCAAGGCCGAACATATACGTGTTGTCTCAGCCTTTCAATGTCAACTACATAAGGGACTCAGCAGACGCTGAGGTGAAGCTCGACAAGGAACACATGACCGACACTTCTGTGCATTTACCTCTGAACGTGGAGAGCCAACCAACAAAAAAACCTCCGCATAAAACAACCACCAAAAGACCAACACAAAAGCCCATACAAAAGAAAACTACCACAAGACTAGCACAAAAGCCTGTGCATAAGAAGACCACCAAAAGACCAGCACCAGCACAAAAGCTTGTACATAAAAAAACCACCAAAAGACCAGCACAGAAACCTGTGCATGTGAAAAAAATTAAGATGTCGGTGTCTCATTCTACCAGTATAAAAGCCGCTAAACCTGTGAATTTGAAGGTGAAGCTTAAAGATAAATCGAAGGTTAAGATCAGCGGCCATGAGCATGTATCTGAGGACGTAAAAAACCGTATAACAACATCACATAAATCAGCGCATAATAAGAAACACACCAGGAGACCAGTGAAAAAGCCCCTCAAAGGAAAGGACCCGCTGAATATCCGGATCGACGAGCATACGAATATAGAGTTGGAACCCAAATCACATATACATTTGGTATCTCACTCCACTGATGTAGATAAGCCAGTGGTACCGGTGAATGTCAATGTAAATGTCAATATTCCACCGAGAAGGAAGCCACACATGCATCCGCATAGGAAGCCCATAACATCTATGTTTAGAGAGAGACATACTGCAACACACAGACGTACAACTACAAGACGCACCACCAGACGCAGGGTTACAACTAAATCAACTACCCGCAAGCCTGCAACTGGTGAATACAAGCTTTTACGGTATTACCGACTACTTGCAAAAAATAAAAGCGGCAACCGCCCGAGTTCGCCGAACTTCGCGTCGCATCGCCATATCTTGCTTCAGAGCGGAAGAACTTGATTTAAGGGCACCAATCAACTCGAATTCTCATGCGCAAACGTGCACATTGTTAGGCAAATGCTGGAACAGCCACATTTTGCAAATATTTTCAGCTTCACGCTTGTAGTAGTCAGCGTGCTTCACTGCGCACTGACAATTCCACTTTGAGAAAAATATGCACTGTTTATCACAAGACGCGTCTCGTCAATCTGAACTGGCGTTCTTGATCCAGAATTTGCGCAGACTTGAGCAAGATGCGGTGCAAACAAGTCAAGCGAACTCAGGCAGCCACCGCGGTTATTATTCACATATTACGAGCGATATTTCACATACTCTATTTGAAAAAGTGTAACAAGTATTGCAGCCGGCACTGTCAAATTAAGATATGATGTTTGGTTGAAATTTGGAGGATGCGAATATATGGTAAACGGTACGCTTTTGTCGTTTACTACAATTACTCCTACTTCCAGGTTAAAAGAGATGCAAAGGATTTTGACAATGCTGAGGCGTCTTGTCGAAAACATGGGTCTCATTTGGTTTCCATACACAGCGAAGCAGAAAACAACTTCATTCACAGCAAGTTTTTTGAGGCACAATTATTTCACAGGGCATTTCTCAACTTTTTGCAGAAATCACATCTACTGGCAGTAGTGTCACATCTTTTACACAATTTGTTTACATCGGCCTTCGTAAGAACTCGAAAAATGAGTGGAAATGGATAGACGGAAGCCCAATGGATTATAAAAAGTGGGCTGCACATCAACCAGACTTGTCCAACGAAGAAACATGTGGGCAAGTACGAGTATACTGTATTATTGCGTATCATCGGCAGCTTAAACCGCGCTTCCAGTTCCACCAAGAACCAGCAAGGCTGTATGATGTTCAAGACTACCACTGGAACAGCATTAGGTGTATTAGGCCCATGAAATATTACGTTTGCAAGAAGTGCAAGCACTCACGCAGACACGCTCCATCACATCACACGTCAAGACACAAGGTTAGATTGATATAAAGTCACTGTAATTTTTGAGACAGACTTACATCCTAAAAGGCTGGCAAAGCTGATCCTCATTGAGAAAAGAGATCTGGCATTCTAAAAGCGGATTCTGATCAGGGTCAAGTGTGTTGCAACTGTCGCAACGGGGGCACCTACGGTGGGAGGGTGGAGGTTGTAAAAGGAAGTAGTTTGGCAAAGAAACCATAGCTTAGAGGGAAATGGCATAGCAAATTCTTTTTTTTCACAAGGGTAATTTTACTGTGCAATTTCAGTTCTATCAAGGGCCAGCAGCAGCAAAAACGAATGATGTCCAAGACTATCGTTGGAATAGTATAAGGTGTAACAGGCCTATGAAGTACTACGTTTGCAAAAAATGCAGAAGTTCAGCCAGAATCAGTCAACTTCGAATGTGCACTTTGATATCTATCAACATGCGGATGAGTTCAAAGCATGGGAGGTTCTAAAGGATAGAGATGGGGGATTGGGATTCACATTGTGTTGTACCGCTTCACATAACATCGAAAAGGGAACGACTTCTTTATTTTTGTAGATAACGATATAAGTAAAAGAAAAGTAGTGCACTTATTCAAAAAAAGCCTAGCTTCTCTCAATTACATGCTTGAGTTCTGATGCATGAAAATTCTATATGTTCGTATTTCAGTGTGACTGCTGCTGCTCACACTGTCCTTGCAAAGGTAGGTACCAAATACTATTTCGCAACGTAAGTTTTGCACCAAATATTAAAAAAAACCTTTCAAAAATGCTCAGGCAGCCGTTTGGTAATAACAATTCAACGCAATTTGTCTTTATCAACTTTTATCGCAGCACTCAATAAATTTTTGTGTTGCGAACCTGAAGAAGGCGCATGGTCTCCTCTTTCGATCATACATAATTTTAGACGGATTCATCGAGTTTGAAGAAACTTACAATTTCTAAAAACTTTGGTGCAAGATTTATGTTAAGACCTCGTACATTCCTTACTGTGCACAAGGGTAAAGCCATGCTCAATTTTGCAGACACATGCAGAAACGAATGTAAAGAATCACAAAAACATACACCCAAACCACGTCCTACACAGCCAAGTAAACCACCAGGCGAACAAGCCGTGTTTCCCAAAGGAGGTAAGAAAAACAGCATAAAACTTGAAGTTTTTCGACAGCATAGACTGCATTAAATTTGATACTGACGTAACTCCATAGCAACTTGCTGCGTCAAGAACCTTGTATTTTTGAATCTTGTAGAATTTCCATTTAAAAAATTTGAAAACGAACATACGTTCATTGAAGTATTTCGTCATAAATAACGAGAACATAAAATTTGAAAAAGATTTGTGAACTTTGCCTCTCCTTCCAACAACATCAGTTTCCTTCTTCACCAAGTGTCATACCATTAGACTCTTTTCCAACTCTTTAAAGAAATTGTCTTTGACGAGGTTTCAGTACAAAGCGAATAATCGGTGTAGGTCCTTTAGCATGTATATCACTAAATTGTACAAATTTAGTTTGCTCAGCACTGATGGGCGTTTTTGCAAAATTTTGAGTTGTCGTATAATTTTTTTATGTTGGTGGAAAAATCTACTGATTATTGATGCATGATTGAGCTCAAACTACTTTGTGAGGGAGGAAATTCCACAAGATCTCTTCCGAGCATCGACAGAAAGTTTGTTATTGTTTGGAGTAACAGTAACAAAATCCTTTCACTTACTACTACAATGCACCTCTACACAGAAAAATCTCTTCGAGCTCCAACGTGCTTGAGCATATAATCTCCGCATGAAATTTACATGTACAACCGCTAATCCCCAACCATAGAACTCGAGAAACAGGGTTCGACCAAGAATAGGAAAAGCGGGTATTATGCTAGAGTCGATATTTCTTGGGAAAGATGTTAATGTACCTACAAAGGTTTGCAGTAACAAATATTTCATGTGGGATCACTCAGCTCAGCGTTTCCTTGACGAAAGCTCGACTTCTGTTCAAGGATAAAGCACTAAAGTACAAGTGATTGTTGTTTGATGTAGATAGTGTATACGTGAGCAAGTGGGAGATTCGCATAGTTAGGCATTTAAATGATTTTGGAATTTGACTTCAAGCACAAGTATATATTGAACTGGTGTGGTGCTGCTTAAAAGTGACTTGTAGAATTTGATTTGGTCTATCGAAACGCAACCAGCAACGAAAATATGAGAAGAATATAGCTTATTGCAGTAAAGAGTCAAATTAAAAGAATTTATAAAGCAATCTAGCCCGCTAGATCATTTATCTAAAAAAAAGTTGCAGTGCGCTCTTAGAGAATACTCATTTTTTGCCTCGTAAACTTTTGTGACATTTGAAATATGAAATCGGCGGATAATTTCTGTTACACTTTTTTGTAAAATTCTGAAAAAATTTCGGAAGCTTTCTAGAATCTTCAAATTTGCACCATGTGTAGGGCCGATAGGGCGTACACAAAAGTATAACTGATGCCGCAAATGTACAAATAGCCAGCAAATTTACGACAACTCTGTAGGCATACTCAAAATTGTCATTTTTCATCAACTATTTCTCTGCATCTAACTGTGCCTTTCTCTCCTATAATTTTTTTGAACATATTCTCGCACTGCCACTTCAGTTTGGTGCCGCTGGCATGTCAAAAAAGAGAGGTGAAAAATAAACCGAAAATGAAAAATTTACCGAAGTTTTTTTTCCTGTGCATCGCGTAGGATTCGATAGGAAGAGATTGGAACTAGTTTTTGTAAATTTTTGAAAATTGATCTTCATGTTGAAATGCGGTTGTGCTGACATGTCGCACCATGTAGATCACGTGAACCTGTGCGGATTTGCTTGTGTCATCTCGTTATACTCGCTAATATGGATCTTATCCTGCCCGATTATTACATCTTCCAGTCTCTTCCTGATCACCTGGAAGAATGCCAGCCCGTTAACAAAAATGTACTTTATTCCACGTTCCTCCATAACAGTGATAACGTGGGTGTTTTGCGCCGGACCATCGATCTCTGACGGTACCGATGGGTAGACCTCTGCACCTTGTCAACAATTCTTGAGCAGATAATTTTCGAAAGTTTCTTAGATTTCTAATAAATAAAGTTAAAAATGTAACAGAACTTATCCCTTAACTAACAAGGGAAGGATATCAACTTAGATTTGCCTTTTAAGATGAGACACATAAATTTGGAATCAGCTTTGAACGCTGATTCCAAATTTTTCTAGCTGCTTAGCGCTATTCCGAAGCGAGTTATGGGCTTGCTGTTGTAAATAATCAACAAACTTCTGAATGTCGTACGACAGCGTGTAAATAAGAATCTGCTCTCAAAAGTGCTAGGATGCTGAACTAGCATCAGATTGATTCTTTCAATTTTGAAAGAGAGCATTATACAGCTGCAAAACCACCTAGATGCTGAAAAAGTAACATCAGTAAGGTCAAGGAGCACGCAAACTTTGCATAGAAAAGAGACTATAATCGCTTTCGAATAATGTTAAGCAGCCTGGAACAGCATTTTTGGAATCAGCGCTCCAAGCTGATTCTAAATACATGTGTCTCATCTCAAAAAGAAAATCTAAGTTAGTATCCTTCCCTTGTAAGTAATTTTAGTGTCAATTAAACTGAAGGGAAAAAGTTGAAGCGGAATCAAAAATGGAGACGAATATTTTAGCAAATACAATGTGCCCTGGTCACAACTATATGGATGACACCATGAGAATGCATATGCAGGACACACACAATTTCCGGAGGTAATTTCAAGATTTTCATACAAATTTTATTTTACGAGAAGAAATTCTGTGAGTAAGGTGCTTTCATGTTGCACATGAAGTCCCTATGCTCATTCAGATCGGAGCTTGCATTAGGGAGGATCAAGGATCATAAAGGGAAGAAGAGGCCGACGGCGGCTAACATGAATCTTTTAGTGAGCCTCTCACCGCGTTTTTCTACTTCTTCATGTTTCTTCGCTTTGAGTGGCAACCATCTTGTTCGCGCAGCTGCGTCTAGGCGAGGGCACAATTCTTTCAAATCCAAAATTTGCAGATCTGGGACTGCATCTTGGAGCAAAAGGCCTACGATCACGTCAGAAACTGCCCTAGAGGACCAAGTGGTTCCCCAGGAGAGAATTTTTACCGCAGGACAATCACAGCTGCTGAGCCGACGTATAGAGATATGAACAAAAAGGTAGAATAATAACAATGGCAATTTTTCAGAAAAAGCTTCTCCTTTCGTCAAAAAAATTTTTTTAGACAGTGACGGAATGGTGGAAAGTCGGTCGCCATCAAGGTGGTGGCCAAAACAGCTTTACTATGGTAAGCTCATTGCTCAGCGATCGAATTTTTGCTGCCACAAAGCGATATCTGTTGATAATCTGAAAATCAATCTTGCAGATGGGTTGGGCTACGAGCCGTCGAATGGGTTGCGTCATTGCAAGATGCGGAAAAGACTGGGTGCAGTCGTGTCGCTATGACCCACCGTAAGAAAAGTGTACATTTTTTTGAATATGTAAAATTCCTCAAATATCATCATTTAGGGGGAACCGAGGTAACCAACAATACATTCCTGGAGCCATATGCTCTAAGTGTGGCGGCCTCCAGTGCAACTCTAAACTAGGCCTTTGCCATAACTCGCCGACTTCGCACAAGTAAACTATGCTGTTTATTAGCTGCCTTGTCCCTTCACTTTGCTAGTATGAACCGAGATAAAAATGTCTTCTTTTTCGATAGTCTAACTTTACAAGACAGAGGATGTTTGAACTACTGTCTGACTAAAGGTCTCAATCCAAATCATACATATATTTGTCTGCACTGATTTTAGCAAACTTTCACATGGTTGCATTTCCAAAATATAGCTGCTCCGCTTCCTTTACAGTGTAAGTAAAGACTAAGGTTAAAAATGACGTATGTGTTGATTTTTGTCCATATTATGCCATGTTTGTTGAAGGCAGTGGATCGGCAAAACTTAACAACCCACGATTTCAAAACGGTAGGTTGCCTATCGCCCAAGTATGGGAACAGTGCAATTCCGGTTGCACAACATGCCTGCTCTGCCGAGAAAATTGCTCTCAAGCGTACACGCGCAAGCCAATCTTACACGCGCCGGACGAGTTGGAAATTTCTCACTATTGGAGGCTGCCCGCCGCAATGCTTTAATCATTGGGTCCCGCAACGATTCAGCGCCATCAGCCTTGCTCGACTCGTCCAATTTTAAAAGGAAGGGCATCGAAAAACGCTTATTTTCGCCGTTTTCAAGCTCTCTAAAGTGGATCTTCGGGATCAGCGTAATGAATAACCCCAGGTAAGCAGAAATTTGACCAGGTTGAGATTTGCCGAGCCACTGCCTTTAAGCCGATAGGAGACGCGCGCAGCACGCTCTTTGCCTCCGGCGCAGGTAGAATTCGCAGGTCCCCGCAGGATTTCCCTTCGTAGAAGATCGGTTCAAAAGGCTGCTTACTTTGGAGAGAAACATTCGTCACTCAACCAGCAATGATACAAAATAATCTTGCATATCAGATTCCATCCAAATCGGGAGTAATAGCAAGACCGATACCAACTTGTTTGGAGCGCTATTTGCAAAAAAGCGACATATTTGAGATAGTTTGTCATAAAGGCTGTCTTACGCTTTGCACTCCTAACTCTAGAATCTTCATGCCAATGTGGACGTAGCAAGAGGATCAACTACCGCGTCATCCCTTTGCAAGAACAAAAGATTAGAGGCAGCGTCCCATCAAAATGATGGGTACAGGGATTCTACAGTGTTCCAATGTTAGACCCTCCAGATAGTTTATCAGTGAAGTCTGGAGCGAAAAAGTGCTTCTGAAAAGCCCAAAATCCGCTCCGGAAGTCTCCGGACGACGCCCACTTCTAGACCCCGCCCACTTTTTACAAGTGGTTTTTAGCGAACGCCGACACGGAGAGCTACCAAGCCCTTTTTGCCATTTTCAAGCGCTGAAAAGCTCATATATGTCTTCAACATCGCGATAAGGCTCCGAAGAGGTGAAAAATCAGGGAACGAATTTCTGCCGGGACACTGTCCTTGAAAGGGTGAATGTCAAGAGGCGCGATTCTTGTTGTCAGATGGGCAGCATATACCACATATTTAGAGTTTTATGAAGTTCTAGAATTACTTGAATCAGAAATATATTATATAGTTGCATGGAATTGTACGATCTTATCATCTTGAAATCGATTCCAAACAAAACCGCTGAAAGTCAAAAGCCCATGAAAATGCAGTTATTAACAATTTCGTAAGTATTTCGGTCAGTTTTGTAGCAAAGCCGTCGAACTTATCAAGCCGTTAAATCAAACAGCTAGTAAGCCAATGGACTTTGTCCGGCACTTTTTGAGTACTCCCATAGTACGAAACTAGAGTTATGCTTCTGCAAAGTGAAGGTTTCTACAAGGAGATGTTCCTCGATTTTCGCCTACAAAATCTTCTCCATTGTAACTGCAATAATTTTAAAGAGTGCGCAGAATAGCCAAAAATTTGCAGATTGTAACACAGTTTATAGTACACTTCTGAGAAGGGTTACGGTGAGTCAAAGTCAAAGTTCGAAAACGGGTAGAACTTTTGAAACAACCCAATAAATTGTAGTTCAACTACCGGAAAATTACCAAAAACTGCAACCTATAGTTTTTACCAAGGTCAAGTTTCACTACTTTTTTCAAATTCTTGTACTGATTTCCCAAAAAAGATTGAGTTACGATTTTTTGAGGTGTATCTTGCATGATACACAACAATTTGTTCCTCCTCATAGCTCGCTCTAAATAGCAGAATTTTAACACCATCGCAGACCCATATCAGACGACAATAGTCAAACACTAGTAAATTCTCAATTTTTGGTACTTTCAGATGTGTGTTATATCAGGTTGTCCCATAAGTTGCATCTGTTTTGATTTTCAATCGCAATAAGTCATGAACTTCTTGGTTCTAGATGGGCTTGAAGTGCCATCCAATAGAGCAAAGCAAGCTCTACAAGATGACGTTCTTACTTTCGCACCAGTTCGAATCCATCTCGAGTTTGTAGCCAAAAACCACAAAAAACCAACCGCCCGGAAAATAAAGAAAAACCGTAACTCCTTTCAAAAAAATCCTGGAAAATTTCTAACTTGCTCACAGATATGCCATCCACATTAGACAATTATATACATTGTTGCTGTGTTTTTCCTTTGATAGAAATCAAGAAAACGAAAATTTTAATGTTCTCGCCAAAGTGCCGCCGTGCTGTTCTCACATTGATAGTTGTATACTACAGACCAGTACAAGTACAGACGTGTATTTTCAGCGCTCTTAAGGTTCTCGAGAAATATTCGTTTTAATATGGGACATCCGCCAGTGCAAAGCTAAAACCAATGTTTCTCGAGAACTCTAAAGCCTTTAGAGCGCTGAAATTTCACGTCTGTACTTGTACTGGTCTGCAGTATACAACTACAAATGTGGAACAGCACAGCGGCACTTTGGCAAGAACATTAAAATTTTCGTTTTCTTGATTTCCATCAAAGAAAAAATACAGCAACAGCAACAGTGTACATAATTGTGATGTGGATGGCGTATCTGTGAGCAAGTTAGGAATTTTTCAGAATTTTTTGAAAGGAGTTACGATTTTTTCTTTATTTCTCGGGCGGTGCGTCTTTTCGTTTTTTGCCTTCAATCTCGAGATGGATTTGCACGGTACGAAAGCAATAAAGTCATACTGTAGAGCTTGCTCTGCTCTATCCTATGGTACATTGAAACCTATTAAGAATCAGGAAGTTCATGACTTATTGCGAGTGAAAGTTAAAACGGACGGAACTTATGGAACAACCTGATAATTTGCCAGTAATTTTGCAAAACAATGAGCGTCTAGGGATTCTAAATATCAAATCTTGACTTTTTCGGGTACAGCCTGGGGAGCTTAATAACATGATTTTGTTAAGTTTATACCCCAAGACTTTACGAATTAGAAACGAAGAAACATGCGAGTTGCTCGCCGGTTTGTGTCAGGTTTAAATGGGCTGTATGTGGAACTTGGTAGCATCAAAAAATTAATTTGGAAAGATAAGCTATGGGGAAGGCTTTTTTGTATCCTATATGCTTTGCTCTATTTATGCATACTTGGACATCAGGAAATCAGTGCAAAAAAATTGAAAAATTTGACCTTGATAATGTAATTTTCTCAGAGCTCGCTCGTTCAACTGCAAAACAAAGATAACAATTTGAAAGAGCATGGAAAACTGCTACAAATGCTAAAATTGGAATGTGGCGCTTGTTCAAAAAACTGGAAATACTTTCGGGACGAAATAATATTAGGTCTTTCCGTGAGTATTGTGGCCTTTTTCAAATGAACCCCACATTTCGTGGAACCAAGATTTTCAAGAGATCTTGGAAGCATTCGATGCAGCATAATACTCGATGAGCTCTAAAATTACCAAAATCTGCGACTCACGCTTTTTGCCGCGATCAAGTTCGGTTTTTTCTAAATTTTTGTACTAAGTTCCCGAAGAAGTACAAGGAACATTAGAGCAAAACCTACAGGACAGAAAACAAATTTTTCTTTTCTTTACCTTGCTTCTTAAGCCCGTATGCACGTACATCCCCGAGGGGAGGGGAGGGGATCTGAGAGGGGAAGCGTCATATTTTGCTACTCTGTATATCTTTCGTCTTCCTTCTTTATCTGTGATATGAAGGTTCTCATACCCTAATTCCTGCGCATAATGGATGCCAGGATATTGCCATACAAGATTAAATTTTACAGCTTTATTTGATCCCCTGGGGATCCCCAGGGAACACCCAAGCTGGTTAAAATCTAATCTTGTATGGCAGTAACCTGACATCTATTATGCCTAGATATCAGGGTATGAGAACCTTCATATTACAGATAAAGAAGGAAGAAGAAAGGTATACAGAGTGGCGAAATATGACGCTTCCCCTCTCAGATCCCCTCCCCTCCCCTCGGGGATGTACGTGCATACGGGCCTAAGAAGCAAGGTAAAGAAAAGAAAAATTTGTTTTCTGTCCTGTAGGTTTTGCTCCAATGTTCCTTGTACTTCTTCGGGAACTTAGTGTTACAGTGTACTTGGTAATTTGCTACTCAAAATCACCAAAACTAAGAAGCGCTTTTTGCCGAGTCGCTGCTTTTGAATGCTTGAATATACCCGCTGCGGAAGAGAGCGCAAATGAACTGAAAAGCTTTAAATCTTCCAGATATTTGAAATTTACGTTATTTTAATTTGAGTGTGTCATTCTTTGCAAAAAACATATAAGAGAACGGATGCAGATAAGCTTTTATGAGAGAGAGCAAGCCACAAAACACAGAATTGCATACTGTCACAGCTATTAGCTATCATAACTTGTAATAACGGGCTAAGGGTGTTTAGGTTCTCTCTCTGTGTGTGTGTATGTGTGTGTGTGTATGTGTGTGTGTGTATGTGTGTGTATGTAGTGTGTATGTGTGTGTATGTGTGTGTGTGTGTGTATGTGTGTGTGTGTATGTGTGTGTGTATGTAGTGTGTATGTGTGTGTGTATGTAGTGTGTATGTGTGTGTGTATGTAGTGTGTATGTGTGTGTGTGTATGTAGTGTGTATGTGTGTGTGTGTATGTAGTGTGTATGTGTGTGTGTGTATGTAGTGTGTATGTGTGTGTATGTAGTGTGTATGTGTGTGTGTATGTAGTGTGTATGTGTGTGTGTATGTAGTGTGTATGTGTGTGTGTATGTAGTGTGTATGTGTGTGTGTATGT